GCGTCTGATTCACTAATTGTTACATAGCCAAAAATTGCAGACGTCCGCGATTTGGAAATTGCATTTTTTTCAATCGCGATTATATTGAAAATGCTATTAATTGTTCAGCCCTACTCCGAGCTCCTCCTGGGTAGCTAACTATACTAACCACTAACTATACTATTGTAACATATTATCAAATATACAATTAAAAAATAACCAGACAATGATTTGGCCCTTATCTGTCAATATGTTCCTAATTTAAACAAAAATGCATTAGCACATGAAAAATGCGTCACTGGAGCCTTAACTGCTAAATGTAGATATCAAACATATAATCCCATTTTAAGATTAAACACTTTTATCTCTGCCGATGCCAAAATGCAAGAAAATGCAAAGGAGCATTTGCATTTGCAGATATGTCAAACAGACATTACTGCTGTCTTGTAGGCAGGGAGGCTGCAGCATGCTGAAGACACTGAGCCAAGTTATCTGGAATTTCTCCTTGGTAAAATTAGCAGCACCCAAGCTTGGAGTGCAACCAGACATTCTTCATCCTAGCAGCACAGGAATACCTTTAGCTGTTGAATCTTTAAAGGGCAAAGTGGAACAACTTTAAGGTGGCTTCTTGAAAACAAAAACAAAGAAAAAATTTTTTATGGTTTGTAAATTAATATATTTTTATCTTGATACTAACTTTGTTAAAAGCCCAGTTTTAGATCAGAATACATTGTGAAAAGGTTCAGGAAATGAAGTTCTGTTGAACAAGTTTGTAATCTAAATTGAAAAGCTTCATAATTAACCAGTTTTATTTTATATTTCTGCTACTTGCTTGTTGTTTAAAATAATCTAGATCATGAAAAACTCATTCAAATTTAAACTTTGAATCTCAAACCAACCAAAGCCTAGTGTGTTCCCTCCAGACAGAAACACACAGGCTGGATGCTGCTCTAAAATAGAAACATAAGTAAATGGATAAACAAATACAAATAGATTAAATTTGGCTTCAATGTTTTTCTAAGAATCCAAATCTCTTGAATAAAAGCCAGTGAATTCATTATTTACTTCTATTGTGCTCATTTTGAAGTGCAATAATGCAGAACACGTTTTGCAGTACTTTAAGGGATTTAGGAGAATAAAAAATGTCTTTGTTTTTGCAGAGACAAATTGATTGGGCTAAAAAAAAACAAATATGTAAAAAGCCCATTCCTAAGACTCACAGAGCTTCAGAACCTTCCTGCTTTTCATGTTTAAGCTTCTGTTTTATATCAACTTATACTTCATATCCTGTCTCAGACCTGAAAAAGAAAATTCAGCCAGAGCAAATTTGTTTGTAGGGTTTCATGGTCAAGATGTTAAAAAGAATTTGATTTAACTCATTAGGCTGCCTTCTTTAGACCATTGAAATCTGCCTTTCAGTAAGAAGCAGTGCTGTTTATTTCGGATTGGTGTAATGTTTCCACTCACTTGTAGCCCTGCTGATCCCAGGCCTGCCCATAGACGCCATAGCTTGGCACCTGCCATCCATTGGGCACGTACTGACCGATCTGCTGTGTGTTGCTGTACCACTGCCCCCACTGATTGTAAGGTTGGGCAGCGAAGCTCAAGGTGTTCTGCTAAAATACAAAAACGTGCATTGAGGAGACACATCTAATTATTTATTATTACATAAATGATAGATTTTACAGGGAAGGAATTGTCATACCTGTGCCATCTGTACCTGCTGAATGGGACCCTGTACGATATCTGTTGTTTCCTTCCCCCAGTAACACTTCACAATGTTGCCCTCTATGGAAGTGCCATTAACAGAAACTATGGCATGAGCTGCTGCCTCGTGGGAGTTGAACCTGATAGAAGAAAAGATCTTAAACATTATCCTTCCTAATCAAGTTATCCTAAAAAGATAACTCATCTGACAGGTAGATGAGGTTTCCCCCTAAAACAGGCAGATCTAAAAGTCAGGTTACCTCACAAAGGAGTAGCCTTTCTCTGGGAAAACACGGATTTCCATTATTTGGCCAAAAGGTGAGAAAGTCTGTCTCATTAATTGCTCTGTGAATAAAAAGAGAAAGTGTGAATAGTGCTCAGTGCTTGTAAGACTGTGCCTTGGTTACACTGTTCCTCACCTGTGAGACCTTGTGTGACTCCCCCGCAGTAGACAGTACAGTTACTGAGGCTGGATTGGTTTAACACCTCATCAAAGGAGAGCTGTTTGCTACTGGCTGCTAAAAAAAAAGACAAATATGAAGATTTTGATTAAGAATATTTATTAAACTACAAAATAATAAAACATGGCTGACAAAAAACAAAGGTTGACCAGTACTAACTTACTTTCATTCGTTGTTTTAGGAGCAGGCTTCCTCGTGGCCCAGTTGGTCCTGATCTGTCGGCCTCCCAACCACTGCCCTCCCATTTGCTGGATGGCGTTTTCTGCATCCTAAACGTGAAAATAGAAGAAATGTCCCAACAAGAACCTGAAAATATGTTCTGTATCATTACAAGTTATGTCACTTAGAGCTAAACGTACCCATTTGTTGAAGAAGGAGACAAACCCGTAGCCTTTAGATTTACCTGTGGCCATGTCTTTCACGACACGACAGTCCCTGAAGGTAAACAAACACATTTAGACGCAGTTAAAAAGTAACTGGTTACACTCTGAAATTACTGACATAGTAGCTCGACTTACACTACCCTTTTGAAACCGTGCCGAGATCGGTCCGAGCACGGTAACTGAGATAACTATTGAGTGTAAATGCTATGCACAACTGAACCGGACCGCGCTGTACACTAAACTGGTACTAGATCAATAGTAGGGCTTGGCGCAGGTCAGTTCGGACCCAGTTCTCAGTTAACAAAGAGCGCATGAGCAGCCTCTGTAGTCATGAAATATTAGACAAAAAATACTAGCTTACCTACCGTGCCACACGATTTCTAGTGATGGTTCTGCTTAGCAGTGTGATGAACCTCAACGTCTGTTGTTGTTTCCTGCGTCTGTAAGCCCTGATTAGACCGTCATGTACCGTATCCACTTCCTAAAACTTACTGTCAAGTAAATTCACCAAAGGCTGCCTTCGCCTCACTCTGCGCACACTTCCTGAATGTTACAAGCGCCGCCATATTGAATTGCTTGTTTACATCTAGAGAGTACCATAGATCGTCACTAGGAGGCGAGGAACCATGCTAGTGTGGCGTGTAAATGTTCGTAAGGCACTGAACTCAGCGCTGTTAACTGATACAAGCTCGGCACGGATCGGTTTTCGGAGGATAGTGTAAATGGAGCTAGAATGCCATTCTGGTAAATCAAAATGTCGCTATAAGACATTTCTCAACATGAGGAACATAGATTATCTTTTTTCAGACTGGTATTGTTCCTAAATTTAATATGAAAAGTTTTTTGAAAGACGAATTTAAACTTATGAGGACAAAGAGTGTAATAAAAAAAATTAAAAATGAAAAAAACACTTTATTTCTATTTTTTAGCTAAAATTGCACATCAGGAGCATGTGCAGTAGAAAAAGTTGAGGAAAAGAAAGATGGCCTGCTGGAGAAGCACCAATGAAAATAAACTTACGATATTTTTCCAAATGGAGCGAAAGCTGCTTTTATGTCATCTGTGGTGATTTCTGGACTCAGGTCTCCAACAAAAACATGGAAGTGACCTAAAAAAAAAAATAAAACATTGTAAAAATATGAATTTGTAGATTTATTATTTCAGAAACAAATGAAGGCTACAACAGTTTCTAAAATATGCACAGTCTTGCATAGTCTTAACCCTGAACTTATGATTTCTACAAAGATATGGATTTATGTTCAGAGCAGAGGCCCCCAAATTGGGGGTGAGGGCCCCCCCAGGGAGTCACAAGACACCAACTGTGGGGTCAAAAGATGGTTTTCACTATCACTGTGAGGTCATCCCCGATGGCATACAGAAAGCCAAAATATATGCGGAAATACGCAATTTTCCATCAAATAAATTAAAGTAACTTTCATTTATTTATCATACATTGGATTTAACTACTACACATACCACAAAATTATAAAATGCACAATTTGTTTACTTATCTAACATATAATTAAAATATTAGATATACTATTAAATTATTAATTAAATGATGAAAATTAAATGACATATTAGATCATTTGTTGTATAACATTTAGATATACCATGACCAAATAACATTTAATGAAATGCACAATAATTAAATTGCCCATTTATTTGATTTCAAAATTCCTAAAATAAATTTTCTTTTTTTGAAATACCTACCATTTATAATTTTATAAATAAATAGTGAAATAGCACTATGTATTTTTAGGGTGTCGCCAGTCTGTGGGGCAGTTATTTTTGGGGTCACAGGTTGAAATGTTTAAGGCGACCTGGTTTAGTGTCATTATTCCACTCAAAGTCTTAAGGTCTTTGCATTAACTGGTATTTTCCCAGCTCTGTATGCGACTCCATCTGTAGAAAAAAATCCTACCAGAAGGATTTAACCTCCCTTTCCTTTAACAGTAACATTGTTCACTAGTTTTCCGAAACAGACTTGTAGAACGCACCACTAACAACTGTCCACTGAAAAGATATTCCCCATCAAGACGATGGATCTCTGCAGCTCCTCCTTTAATTCCTTCCATATTTAACCTGCCTGCTCGTTCATACAGATGGCCAGGTGGTAGTAGAGTTGCATTTAAGCAATATTTTTTCCAATATCAGATGATTAACTAAATAATGCTCTGTGCCATGTTCTCTTTTTCTCCCAATCTTTCTCCCTGACCATTCTGCTGTGTTCCTCAGTCTTCATGACACATTAATGTTCTAAACAAACCACTAAACTCTTCACAAGATATTTTTATTCAAACAAAGATTTAACCTACCCAAGAGGATTCCTTTGATTAGGCAACTCTCACTGGTAAATTGATCTGAGCATCAGTAAATTAATGTAAACACCAAGCACATATGCAAATAAATATATATATATATATATATATAAAAAAAAAAACATGATGGGAATTGAAAACCGATTCCTGTTCAGAACCAGTTCCGTGTTTTCCAATTCAATGGCACCGTTTGGCAGCTTGTTTAAGGATTGTCTCAATGATTCCAGGCAGCACCAGAGCCAAGAGCTCTGGGCAGTATGACTTACGTCACGTTTTTTTACGTAAGTTACGCACATGGCATTCAGTTAGCAAGTATGACGTGACCAGGCTAGAAAAGCAAAACAAAAGCGGTCAAAGTGATAGAAAGTTGGGTTTCATTTTAAGGAAGAGAAAGATGGCAACAAGGCCCGCTGCAATCATTGCAAAGTGGCAATAACATCCGTGGGAGGAAATACATCCAACATGAAGAAACACCTGCGCACACAACATGGCATACGTTTTAAGGAATGCTGTGTTTTTGATGCTTCCGGACAGAAGCTAAAGTTAAGACCAACATGGAAGGCAAATCTGGTGGTAAGTAGCTAGTTTTATATCACTGGCTGTGCTTAATGTGGTTCCTAGTACATCATATGCCATTTCTGGAAATAAACCAATTTCCTTCCTCTCTTTGGGGTTATTAAACATGCTACATAGTTCCTCTGCAGTTCAAGGAGCGAGAGAAAGGTGACGCTTTTTTATTCAAATAAGGCAGAGCTGAGTTTATTTCCCGAAATTGTACAGTAATGCTTTTTCATTAAATGGATGCCTTCTCCATTAGATTGAGATGACTGTGACGAGACGGGTAGCCTGGCTAGCTCAGAGGCTGGCAGCTCCCGTTCACTACCTTCAGAAATAGAATGTCCCAGGCAAAGGTAGACGAATGTCACCGTGAACTTACCAAGTTCATTGTTTCACAGAATGGAGAAGTGAATCAGAATCGTGAAAGTTTTATCAATTCCCAACCCTAGACACACGACTCTCCGTTTCTCAAACAGATAAGACATTCATGGAACAAATTACTTACTACTTGTGTCTTTCTTCTGGCTCGTTGGGGTTGTGGCCCAGTTAACCTTCACCTCCTGCAAGAAACACAGATGCAAAGCAGGGAAGACGAGAAGGTGAGAAATGAAGCTACCTTCACATGAAAGGAGGTTTTTTTTTCTTTGATTAGAGGGTGGGGGGGGAATCACACACCAGTTTTACTTTTGTTTTTATTTGTGACTGAGAAGTTCTGATTAAGATGGCCTCTGAAAGCCACAGAAATGCTTTAACCACCAACACAAACTAATCTTTATCTAATTTTACATAAACCTCAGCATTAGTCAAGACATTTATATAAACAGTGGAGAACATGAAGGGATATTAAGACTTCACCTTTATAATGAGGAACATTTCATTTTCAGGCTAGTAATTTGGAGTAAAACTGTAGGAAGTAAGGTCCAAATAACAAGGGACTTACAAACAAGTGATTTTTACGAACTTGTTATACTCCTCAAATGGTCCTTCAATACCTGTTGAGGATAAAATATTTTCAACTGAAAGTATTTTTTTTTCTTAAAAAGGTGCTCTTATGTGGATTCTACGTGGAAATAACTGCAAAGAACACAAAGCATTAAAGATATAGGGGCACAGAAGAGCAGTGATTAAAGTAGATCAACATGTCAAATGTTGTATAAGAACAAAACAGGGCCACATTAAAGTCAATTAATTCATAAAACATAGGAGGGCTCAATAGGAATGATTGTTAAAACAGATAGAATGGAAAATGAAGTGACTGAAAACAATTACTACTGATTCCTCGTTGACGCAGAAGCACCGAGAAATCAGCTGGTGATTCAGCTTGATTGGTGCTGACCGCTGATTAGACAGCTAGAGCCACAAAAAAAACTTGTATTTCCCCAAATCAACATGCTAAACAACACCAAAGCACAGCCATTCACCATGTGAATAAGTGAAAAACCCTAAAATACAACTCATTTGAGGTAAGTCTGCAGTTAAATCACAGCTAAATGTGAACAGGAAGTCTGACCACATTAGTGAAGGTGCTTTGTTATATATGTTTTCTGGCCAAACTGACTGACTGACACAGGGTGTGAGAACGGCCAGTTAAGACTCAGTCTCTGGGCTAAAACCATTTGGACCAATCAAAAATTCAAAGAACTGGCTGCCATAAGAGCTTTTCTTAAAAAAAAAAAAAAGTTTTTGCTGTAGACATCTGATTGGTTCATAGCTGTGTCCTCAGACTCTGTTAGTCCTGCAATTGAAACTGGGTTTCCAGACCCGATATGCCATCAACACTGTCAGTCAGACTGGCTGGCCGGGCTAAAGTTTTTGAGTATCTCAAATCTCTAAAAAAGGCTAGCTGCTAAAATAAGACACTAAAGACAGCTTAAAATGTAAAAATCAATTATTTTATATAAGGTTTCTAGGAAACATTGACTTTTCTCAAAATTTAATGAGAGGGGAAACACCAGTAAAGCTAAAAAACTAAATAAATCTAAATGCATATATATTTCTTCAAAAATATATATATAAAAAAAAAAAAAAAAAGAAACCAGCATCGGAAAGTTAAAGCTTTATAAAAACAAAATTCTTAACCTGGATATATATCCAACTTTCTACTCAGTGTAGGCTGCACAACATATTGAAAGATTATCCATATTACTGAACATATCTAATTTGACATATAACTAGACTATTATGACCTGTGGATGAAGCTAAACATGCTTGTAACATATTTGATGATGCTTCAATAAAATGTTTCAGAGTCTAAACTGGTGGTAAGATCGTAAAGCCGAGAAATTAGCTTGTAATTATATATAAAAGTAACCCAAAGCACCCCCGTTAATGAAATCAACCTAACTCAATGAATCTGATTTATATTTATGAGTTAATCCTGACGGATGCTTCATGTTAACATTAGGAATCCACTGGCTATAACCAATGCAGGCTCAGTAATGTCAAGCACAGACAAGGTTTTCTAGGTTTTCCTAAATAAAAGCTCAGTGGTTGTTGACTGAATTTGGCAGCAGAATGGTAAAATATTAGTTTTTATGGTTACAGAAGTGAGAAAAAAATATTATAAAATGGTAAGAGGTTGCAGGCGGGAAATGGAAATAATTCAATTTCTGACAATACAGTGTGGAAAAAGGAAAGATGCAAGCAACAAGTATTCATTTGCTATGAAGCTGAGAACACAAATACACCACCCATTTATATAATTATGTTATGACAGTGAAATTATTTTTTTTTTCTTCTGGAAACTCAGTGTGCATTAATTTTTCAGTATAAGCACAAACTTTAGAAAACGCTTTAGATTAAGATGATTCTATGTGTCAAGGATAAGGAAATGGCGGTCTGGACTCCATCTTCAGTGTAAGTAACACATCTGAGTGTACAGCGTAAAACCTGATCAATGCAAAACAAGCACTCAGTGATGTTTTCAATAAATAAAACATCAGTAAAGCCGTCTTAGTTTGACTTAACTTGATTTACGATCTCAAAGTTTGTGTTTGTTTGTTTAAAGGAAGGTAGTAAAGATGAAGTGTGGTGCTCCCTATTAAGACACAGCAATTGTGCACAGAGGAATGATTTGTAAAGCTGAATAAAACAAAACACAAAGTAGAGCAGGAAACCAGAAGAAATATAATCAAACAAGTTTAACCAGTTGTTTGGTAATAGCCTTGCCCAACCAGCCTTGCCCTTGGACACTCACCAAGGAGTAATGATAGCTTACCTTACCCAGTATTTTCCGACCATTCATGGCTGCGATTGTAGCTGTGGCATGTCTATGCTCATAGAACTCCACAAAGCAGTATGGATCATGACCTGCTGTCTGGGGTGGAAAAAAAGACAGAGTTTAAGTACATGTGAGCCCAATTGGATAAGCATTAGGTAGGAAAATGAGAGGCTGCATAAACCACTGCACGCTGAAAAATAAAATGAAATCAAAATAAATACCAGAACAGTAAATCAAGGGTCTACATATTGAATGTTTTAAAATAGAGCTAACATGAAATGAGAATGAATAACTCACATCTACTATCATTTTGCAGCTTTTACAGGGTCCTATTTGGCTGAACAACTCCAAGATGAGGGCCTCCGTCACGTCCCGGGACAGGTTCCCCACATACCTACATACACAGCAGCAACAAAACATGAGTGGCTTGTGATAAAACCTCAATGGTAAGCAGACCCAACGATAATGTGTGCCAAGAAGCCTATTTAAATTTTGATGAATTCAAAGACGCAAGAGCTTGTTATCATTGACTGATCAGCCAGCAGGACTCTCAAGCCTATTTCCCACTGAAAATAGCTTGTTATCCCTGGTTTTTCCAAACCCCCTAACAATCAGCATTTGGCTCTTTACAACTGGCAAAAAAAACTGAGTCTAACCCCTCGCTGACAAGCTGCGTAGCCTTTGTCTTCCCGCAGCTGCGTGTCTGAAGACACCATCATGCTGGGTTAGCTTTGATGATGTCACCAGTGCGACAGAAATCAAGAAAATAAACAAAGAGCAACAAGTAAGGAAGTAAGAGCTCAGGTGTGGCTATCACATTGTGTTAAGGGCAGATAAGACTTGCAACCGTACACATCAAATTGCGCTTGGGTCCCGGGTAGACACGCATCAATGAGATGTTCCCACTGCCACTAGAAGCAGATTGTTCCAGGGTTTAAATGGGTTTTTCAGCCAGCGAGAAAGGGGTATCATTAAGTCAATCTTTTTTTACAATCGGTGATTGAAAGTACTACCAAATCCCACTGAGAATAAAGCCCCATTTACACTACCCTTGAAAAACCGATCCAGGCCGAGACCGGTCCGAGCTTGGATCGGTAACCAGGCCAAGCTCAGTTTTGACGACCGTTCACACGTCACACTTATCTCGGTTATCTCGACGCCTCGACTCCTCGCCTCCTAGTGACGATGTGCGGTATTACTGCTAGGATTGAAGGAGGGACT